ATCCCAGTTTTTTGAGCAAAGTTCTCACTAACTTGCCAATGAAAGACCAAGTTTCAGAGGTAGCTTAGTGTTGTTGTTTTTGACAGTCCTCTAGCTTTTCTTAAATTCTTTTTTAATATATTGAATTTTTAAAAATAGTCATGCAGTTGCATCATTTTCAATTCAGCGCCATTCTGCAGATTTTGCTTGTGGCCGATCCGTAATCACTACATTTTGTTGTGATTTATAATTCACAACGTTTTAGAGAAAAAATAGTGGAGTTAATTGTGATTGGATGTTTTTTTCTTAGGTGTAGTTCTTAGAGAATGATGTAGACACTAATACAACCTTTCAACGAAGCAGGGCTCACCATTCAAATCTCATACATTTGCTTTTAGGTAGGATCATATTCCGCCCTTTCTTCGCAAGGCTGTTTAGTAGCAGCTCGCACCCCTCCAGAAACCCAACGAGAGCTAGCTGCCTTGTTGCAAGTTCCAGTCGTTGCTGGTACGGTAAACCGAGGCTCCGAGCTCATTGGTGCTGGAATGTGTGTCAACGACTGGGTCGCTTTTTGCGGTGAGGTTTTTTAGCGTCTAAAGATATCTTATAAATATTCAAGGAGACATGGGCGAGTAGCTATTCAGGTGAACAGTTTTTGTTCTTACAAATCTACCAGCAATATATTCCGTCCGAGTAACTCTACTTTCCCCACTATCATTATCTTCCTTTTGTTGAAAAAAATCTTAACTGACTTCTGTTTGAAAAGGAAAATGTTTCAGGAAATAGCGGCATTTGTTGATTGTTTTTCACGCTAAATTTTGCTGTTCCAGGCCTGGACACAACTTCCACTGAATTATCCGTTGTTGAGTCCATTTTCAAGCTCGGCGATCATGGCCAGCCAGCTGCAATCAGTACACAACTCAGAGATACTCTTATTGAAAGCTTGTTGTAGACTTTATTGTATTATATACTCTGTGTTACTTGTTTGCTGTTTATTCTTGTTGTTACTTTGCCGTGATGTCAGAGAACCTTATGTATATTCATAATAATGAATATGGCAATAATGTCCTTTTCAGAGTGTGTTTGATTTCGCGTGATTGCCTCAATTGAAACTGTTTTATCGGTGAATGATATGAAAATAAGGTCTTCACCAAATGGAGTCTTTTTATCGAAGAATGGGTCAGCGTCTAGTTTTATTATTCTACTTCTTTGTATTTTGTCCCAGTCGTTCTTACCCTACCGCTTATCTCTTCTTGTTAG